AAATATAGCAACAGAGTAAGTGTCTGAATTCCTTCGGTTTTACTGATCAGACCTTTACTGCTTTTTTTTTTTTACCCCACATTTTAGGAGCACAGGTGGGAGATGTGTGCTGCAGGCTTTGTAGAAAAATATAACACATATCCTCACTGAGACTCATTGAGTGACACAGTTTTCCATGCTGGTGGGGGGGGGGGAAAGGCAGAATAAGAGCTGTCTTTCCAATTATAAAACACAATGCAGGAAATGTGGTGCCCCAAGCGAAATGAAATAAAACAGAATACTGTAAATTCAGCCTGTGGTTGGAGTGCTTCCCTAATGATAGATGATGCACATGTTTAAGCCTTGATTATACTCCCTTGCGGACATTTACGCAGACGGTTGCGGAGACAATGGACAGTTGTTGTTGTTGTTATTATAGCCTATTTACTGCTCTGTATTTTCACAAAGATTCTAAATCTGGGAGTCTTATTTATGCTCATGAATTTAATGAAATGATCATTGTTTTCTTCAAGCAGTTTTTTCACTTGGTTAAATATAAGGCTTCCTTAGATGTAGAAATTTAAAACACATGGGCTTGTGTTAACCCTCACGCACTCATTGACTTTAAACAGACACACATATGTCACCTTTGGACACAGCTTTGTTTGGTGTACGTATTTCGGTGCATTATACGGAAAATGCCCCCTAGTGTTCAATACAAGGAAATGGATCTCTTAACAGATGGATGGAAACTTAACCGCACACATGATAGGTTGATTTTATTCATTTTTCTTTTTTAGTTTGACGGTATATGTGCATAAAGCAATACTGCAACAGCAACAGGACCAATGATTCATGGTGAGAAATACCTTACAGGTGGGGGAACAGATTTGTGAAATATTTTGTTGCAAGGCTTATGAACCAGTGCCATACATGTGCATTACACATGTAGCATGTGTCAAAATAGCTACACAAGGTTCTTTTCAATTATACACAATTTGACTTTCAACAAAGTCAAACAAATAAGTAGGTTGTTAGTCTGTTATGTTTTTGAACTGGCACACAGTATATTCTCCCTGAATTACCACTGCAAAAATTCGAAAAGCATATCTGAGCAAAATTCAAAACAATGAGAAATATTACAAATACGTCAAAAAATCACGACGGTTCCCATCTGAATAAACTGACTTCAGTTGACTTTTGTACGCACACAGGGCTCCGGAAAGGAAGGCCAAACACCTTGTTTCCACGAAGTTTTGCTTAATGTCTGTGAAACCATATCATACATGGACTTACACCCCCCCTGGTGGTCAATACAAGAAATGCATTTCAGTAAACACGTATGGATACTTCACCACAGCCATGAGAAAGAGACGAATCAGAGATTTCAGTTTTTACACGGAGCATTACTGCCACAAAGACAGAACATATAATAAACAGCGACGGATGAGGGAGGAAGTTATTCTGCCACATGTGGAGCCAGTTCAGTGATTTTTCTTTTTTTTGGTCACCTTTTTGAACCACTACAACATGTGTGTCTCTACATTCAGACACATATATAACAACAACTATGTTTTCACAGCTGTTCATGTGAGCATTTGCCGTGGTGTATAATCAAGGCGCATTCAAGGCCTTTTGGTCTGAGTGGACTTGGCCAGATGACACTTGGACCCCAGCGAATCCTCACGTACTCATGAAAACAGAAAGCGTAAGCCTGGAGTTACTGTTTTGCTCATACAAAAGGTATTGTAACTGCAAAATGAATTACATATATAAAATATATATTTAGTATTTTTATTATTATATTTTTATTTACTCAAAGTATTTCAGTACTTCTCAATAACATTTTATTTTATTATACACGTGACTCTCTTTATTATTCCTCTAATCTCCTTTAGTTTCTCCTCCGCCACAAGCAAACAAAAAGAGGCTTCAAGGATAAAACACAAAGAGGAGATAAAGTAAAACAGGAGGTGGACAACAAAAGAGACTGTAACACGTGGTTCACTGGCAGCAGGTCCAGGCTGCACACAAATCAATTTCTTTGTCTGTGTGGGCTGTACATTCTCAACTCCGAGGAGATTTTCATACAGCAATAGATTGTAACCTATTCACATTGAGCTTTCAGCGGTATTCTCGTGCATGACCAACCACTCATGATATACCTGCACATAGCACGTCAGGAGAAGCATACAGATGTCATTCGTGTCGGAGGTCACACTTCTGTCCTGCACATGTTTGTTTCTGTTTTTATTTTGTCTTGCTTAAGCCAAGACTTCATTGTGTGCCATCTGGCTCTCAGCTGGGGAGCCAAACAGTTGATTAAAGAACGCAATTAGCATGGAGCAGGTTCTGTCAGCTTCCCCGGCAGGGATTAAAGAATGCGCTCATTCACTGTGACAACTACGCTGTCATGTGTACGTGTAGAATAGGCGAGCAGCATTTCTTCAAACCTAGGGGTTCTTCAAGAGTTGCCTGAGAGATGTTAATATGAGGTCAGCCGAGTCGTTTTTAACCCAGATTTGTACGTCAGCTGCAGTCACTCTCAGCTACCGAGCTGCAGGAGCCTGTGAAGTAGTTCTGGATCACTGTGTGACAAAATCTCAGGAGATAGAATGTAATAACCACGCAAAACTGAAGAGCTTTAGCGATGCTTAATTTAAGATGCACTTTAAATCTGTAGTGCTGCAATCAAAATGAGTGAGAAGTAAGATAGCAAGTGTTACTCAGACACTTAACCTGCAGAAAATCTTCCATCAAGCCATGAAATGGGAGAGAATAAGTGTTCGAGGACCTACAGAGCAGAATGCATTACTTAAAAAAAAAAAACATTTACAGGCATTGAAGGCAAATCTACAAACGACTCGTGTTTGTGGGAATATCTGCAAAGCAGGGAGCCAGGGATGCATCATCTCTTTTAAGACAAACTGAGGCTGGATTCAGTCTCTGGAAGGTGTAGACAGATTGTTAAGAAAAGAGTGGCACAGACTGTGATGAAAGCAATTAGCGACAAGTGTGAGATCATCAGCAAAGTCAAGTGCAGGAGTCCTTCAAAAACCAATTCAAGGCAGCGGGAACAGAAGCGGGGAGCGTGCTGGTAAAAGACCACTCTGAGTAAAAAACTCATCAACTTTCACTGGCAGCAGGAAAAAGAAACGACCCGGCTGCTTTCATTAAGTCTCAGGGGTTCACGAGACAGCTGCAGGGACAGAAAATATATTAAAACCCTGCGTGATGCAAACAAACATGCGTCGCATTCACAAAATGTTATACCAGACTCTGACTCCCTGCCAGAGATGTCAGAGATGCTTTATGATGTTCTCCGTTCCCCTTCTGCAAAAGTGCAATGTCACTTTTTTTTGACATTAAAGATCAAAACATTTTTGCTTGAGGAAGCACAGCCTGTGTTATCAGAAATGCTTGATAGATGAGGGTACTGCAGCCGTGAAGCAATTTTTCAGTTTCCAATCTCATGAATTCAAGCATCTGCTGCCATTCTGTACTACGGCAGAGAACAGGAGACAAGTTAATTTTCAATTTTAGCGCAGCAAAACAAAGAAAACACAGAGTACAGATCAACTAATCTGTATGAAGCAGAGCAGTGTGACACAAGCATGATGGCAGAAACTTCAAATGTGTCTTTTTCTTTTGCAAAGACAAAAAGAAAAACAAAAACTTTGAATCACTTTCTCTGTCTGCCACAAGGTGGACGAGAGCGTATGACTTCCATAACCTCAGAGTTCATATCCAGTGAAGGTTGGACACAATCGGGCAAGTGTTTGTGGGCCATGACCCAGATACTTATTTCCAGTCCTGGACTTTGGACGCTGCAGCATGGCATCATCTCCCATTTCAGTCCACAAAGAAACTGTGTTTCCTGTGTGAACCCACTGACGAGGCTCAGGAGTGTAAAAGCTCACTTGGGCAGTCACATCTGGGAGGCGTTTGGTTACTCTGATTACAGGCAGTGATGCTGTTTACTGGGCACCAGAGTGGAAATGACAGGGGGGGACTTTCATTAGTTTGATTGGAGGAGGTTCCCATGCCAAACCCAAAATCAGCTGCGGTGGATCAAAATAGAGTTATAGGTTGGAGCCTTCAACATCCAAACTCACATGCAACAATAGTAAATCTTTTTTTTCTATTTCTAAAAAAAAATGTAATAAAAATGCTGATCCTCATAAAGTATTAACTCATTGTTTTGGTGTGTACCTGCAAGTGCTTGGTTGTGATTCTGGCTCCATCTACAGGCTGTTATCTAGACTTCACACCTAAATAGAACAGGAGATGTCCTGCTGGTTTGATGGCCCTATTGTTTCCTGGGTTGTAGCAATAAAATGGTTTGTTTGAGTACTGTAAAGAAAGAAGCAAGCGATCCTGCACATGAGAGATTTCCTAATGCATGTAGTCACACTATTCAGAGTGTATGAGATCACGTGGTAGCTATTCAGTCAATGCAACTTATCTGTAGACTTGATGGTAAGGTTATTAAAAGCAACAGCAAATCAGAACCTTAAAGGGAACTGAAGAGTTTTAACACATTTCTGTAGCGACAAATTTCCTGTGAGAATGCTGCTAGGATTTGTCATAAAGGGGTTCTGAAAACAGTGAGAGAAAGTCGTTGGCGCCGCAGCAGCAGCAGCAAGCTTTAAATAGAAAAAGTAAGGAAACCTCAGTTTGCCTATTAGCTCACTAAATTTCCAAATGCTTTTCTGAAACCCAGATGAATGGAGTGCAGTCAAAAAACACTCCCAGAAGCACAGCCAACACGCCAACTTTAGATTTATAAAGCAGGCGCTGCCCTGCACATTTCAGTTGCGCATTTTAACAAATAAAAGTACTGTTGTGAGGACTGGCTATCTGATCTTTCCCTCGCTGATTAACATTTGACCTTCCGGCTGAGCTGAGAGAAATGCTCAAGTTGCTTTTTTTTTTTTTCTGTAATCCTTCTTGCTTTCCAGGCAGGCACAATTTGAGAAACAAAATGCTGGTGTTCATTCACTGTCGACACATCTTATGTATTAATAGCAGTTTTGTCCTTTATTAAAATAACATTTGATACAAAGCACATGCAAAAATAACCTGTTTTATTTGTTTCAAATCTTATTGTGGTGTTTATTAAAAGACCTGATAATAATAAATGCTATAAACAGCTTGAGAAACACAAAATAAAGCACAAGTGCTGTGAGTTTACCATTTTGTATTTACAAAAGGCACACTGGAATATAAGGGTGCATCTGTTGTGTCAGTAAATATTACACATTGGGTGTTCGTAGCCACACATGAAGTCAGGCCATAGGGCGTATTTCCGGATGAAAGGTGCTTTTCTCAAACATTTGGCAGCATCTCTGTCGCACTTGCAGAGCAGCTTTTCGCATTTGTCCTCCAAATCATCTGCAACGAAGAACACAGACGTCTTCTCTCAATGACAAGATGAAGAGATGATTTAGAACTTTTGTATGAATTTCTCTTTAATGTTGTAAAATGTTACTTATTCTGATGCTTGCAAAGCCTGCAGCTGCATTCATGTTGAGGAATTCCTCTGAAAATATTACTGTTGATATTCTGATTTCTGTCACATGGATTTTTTTAATCATAAAAAGCCACTATTTACTGTAATGTCCACACCTCACTATGGCTATTCATGATCAGTAAATAGTGTGGCTTAAAATATCATTAAATATACATTGGAAAACGTCCTGTTTTTTTTCCCAATCAGCGGCCTCATTGCCATTTTCAAAAGCACAGCCTGATGTGTGTTTCACTCTGAGGTTTACTCCTGAAGCTGCGTTACACGCTACATGAAGCATCACATTTACACGTGCGTACTTTCAACACAACAAACAAGCATTAAAAATGCAGTACCGCACTCAGCTTTCCTGTCCTCGCACGTCCACTGATACTGGTCTGTTTTGGTCTGGCAGCCGAAATGTTCTGCATCTCCGTAACAGCAATCGTGCCTGTGACAACACCTACATACAGAAACATGATAAAAAACACATTATTTTGAAGGCTGAGCTCAGTCTTGAGTAGACAGGGTCAAGGAAGCAGCAGCAGCAGCAGCAGCAGGGGAGGGGGGTCAGTCACAGGGCTGTGGTTTAAATCCCACCATGGCTATTTTAAAGGCAGGGCAGGATCACCACACGAGTTTCCCCAACAGATAGTTAGCAGTTAACCGGTTTGAGGGGGTGAGATGTCTTGTGGCGAAGAAGGAAAAGAAGGAGACGGTAATTAGGATTCGGGTGTGGAATTTTTGGGCCTATTTTGAAGTATGCATGGGGGCATGTGAGCATGCTGGGTTTGGACACCATCCCCTCCTTCCATCCCATCGCACAGCGTTTGTGGTTTAGTCGACTCATTCATAAGCTGCGCATGCACATCCGGACGTAGGATGAGTGGGGAAAGAGAAAAACAAGCAGGAGGAGGTGCACGCCATTCACAGAGTTGGAGGGCTAAACATCACCAAGGCCGCCTGATGATATCTTTTGCAACACATAATGTATAGGTGGTGTCGGCTGACTGTTTACATTGTGGACCGCTCTATCATCACATATCCAGGCAGAGTAAAAGTAAAACCCTTGAATTCATTTTCATCTGTCAGGTGTGTAAAGGCGTGTGATTAAAGCTGCCGCCTCACCAGTCGGCCCTGTCTCTGGGCCAGCCTTGACCGCCCAGTCCACAGTAGCATCCGTACATCATGTAAGCCAAGGCAGATCTCCCCGTGCTGCATTTGATGGCTCCTGCCAGCTCAAGTAGCCCTCTTTTCGTCCGCTGGGTCCTGCGGGTCGCCGCAGAGGCCAGGGCCACTGCGAAGAGCAATAAACAAGAGGAGGAACAAATTTGTCATTATTAACTCAGATCCATATTGTCTAGTGCGCTCTGACAATCTTGGTTTTCAGAATGTGATTTATGGTCTCATATGCAGGGGATGGACACCATGACAAGAGTCACTGACACAATCTGAACAAAATTAAACTCCTCTGTAAAATGTTCCTGCATAGGTCACGCCCCGTTTTAATAGGCTGTGGAATATAATAAATCCTCCTACACCCACATGTAAACTCACAGAGCCCCTATACAATAATGAAGAGCACTCAGAGGACCGACTTGGCTCTCTCACATCTCATGTACACTAAAAAGCCACACTCTGCCTGAACACCGCAACTTTAGATTGATAAAATGCAGGGAAAAGCAGAAAATGTTGCACAGCAAAAAAATCAAAGTAACTTGTTTGCACTCGCTCCCTTAGAACAAACTTTCACTGAAGCATATGTAAACACAAGTATTTTCCCCTCAAGGATCTTACCTGCGCTGATTCCCTCTGTGTTCCGTTAAATAAAACTCTCAAGTCTGTTGTGCTGCATCACTGGCTGGAGCTTCAAAGTAAAAGGACTTACCAGACAACAACAGAAGTACCCGGTAAAACGCTGTCATGGCATGCAACAGGCTCTCCACAGCAAGTGTTCTCCGCTGCCACTCCGAGAGTTTAGCATGAAGTGGAGAGCTTTTTTTAGATGCCGTTTGAATAATCTCCTCAGCATCACCATTGGCTGGAGGCTAATCATGTTTGTGAGACTGTGCTGCTCCCTCTAGAGGAAACAGTGTGGAGGTTTCCAAGGCGCCTTCCCAGCTCCTCCAGGATCAGGCCTTGTGTAATTGCATGTGACAGTTTTGGAATTAATAATGTAATATTGTTTTGTTTTTTTCCTAAAGGATTTTCCTAAAGATGTGAGACAACTTGGGGGTTTTATGAAAATCAAATACGCACAAGTGGCGATAAAAACACTTTCCTCTGTCATTTAAATTTTATTTATTTATTTATTTCCATCACCTGCTGGAACATGTTGTTCTCCCCGTGTTCAGAAAGAACACCTGGAACACAGCACAGAGACTTATTTAATGAACTGCATGTTACATAAGAGACAATCTGTTTTATATAGGAGAGAAAATCTGGACAGCAGCTTGAACTCTAGATGAAGGTTTTGTACATAAAACAAATCATTTTGAACTTTTTAGATATTATATTTTCAAATTGGCTCAGAATATAAAGACAATTAATTAGATACATTTTAAGAAGTTCAGTGACTTTTATCAAATCAACATATAAAGACTACTGAATGAGGAACTCAAGAAAAAGGTACTGCAAAAAACAAACATGTTATTTCTTCTAAAAACATTAATAAATAATGTCATTTGGGGAGAGAAAAAAAAAAGCAAATTGCTATTGTTTTTTAAGGAAAGTTTCTTAATTTGCACATTGTGTAAAACCAAAATTGATGCTTTTCTTTCATAGTTATTGCAGCTTTTATTTTGAAGTTGCAATCCACATCACTATTCAAAATCCCATTTACCATTCTGGATTTGACCCTGGTGTAATTTAGTTTCCCCTAATTTTAAGTAAACATTATTGGTGTTGTATTTATGTAGTGAAACCAGCTGGGTTAGGATAACTCGTGTCTTCATCCTGCTCTGTCTGCGTGTCAGTCATGTGCAGGAGACGCTATTTTAGTCTTATTCTGGACAATAGAACAGAAACTTTTAATTTGATAGTCATAAAACATTTTATGAGACTGGGTATTTTATTTCTGACTTTGAAAGTCATCTTATTTTAGGAGGATCAGTATTTAGGATTGTGAAAAAGAGCACATGAGGAAATCTAATCCTTTAAAATGACTGGCATTTCAAGAGTATGTAATATTTTAAATGGCAAACATGAACTCACTAAACGATACAATCAGCTGCACTGGTGGAACTAAGTGCTTTTGACTGGTGTCCCCCAGGACCCTAAAATATTGGTATTTTTAAGCAGCACTAATTAAAACAGAAAAAGAAAACAGTTACATGAAGTCATTAGGAACAAAACGACTGGCAAAGTAATTAAAAACTGGGATTTTAGAATAAAGCACCTGTGAGATGTGACCAAAAGTGTACCTCTGGGGTCTGTGGATACTGCACTCACTAGAATTAAAGTTTAATATTTGCTCACATTGTCAGGTATTGTAAGCTCCATGATGCTGCGTTAGGCTCCAGTTTCTCACAACAAGTGCAACCAGACTGGATGATTATGGTAATTACACTCTAATAACATCCTTTTTCCGCTGTAATTACAAAGAGATCATCTCCTGCCTCTCATCTGTATTCTTCTCTTGTAAATAAACAAGTCAGCACTGCTTCTCTCCATAAAGCAAACAGTCAACACATATCGTATCTATCATTACTGTCGGTGTGATTTACTGTGCTGCACTCCAAGTGTCTAAGTTTAACTGCAGAAATTGTTTAGCTGACAAATTCCAGACCTGATCTGGAAATGTTGTGATATGTGTCATATCATCGCTTTTCATCTTTTTGTTATGCTCCCTGAAAGTACATTTTCAGCTCTGTTGTACTCGACTCCATTGTCATCCATAATGCGGTAATGTCGGGGCAACTAAATCATAAAAGACACACGCTTTGGGTTTTGATAACTGGGGACATATTTTCAGGGTTTGTTTTTTTTTTTTTTTGTGATTCAGTTCCTCAGTGGTGCTCCTGCACAATGTGAGATAAGCGCCTCCTCCTGGCAGTTATTACATCTGCCATGCAGGATGACTGCGCTGCACCATGAGGCGCATCCCTCAATCCATGTATATCTGATTATTCTCTTCTCAGCAGATCCATTGCCGCAAAACATCCAGCCGGCATTAAGATCGTATCATGCCGAACCCACACGGCTGAAAATTTTAATGTCAATAAACTACAAAATGTGCAATGAACTGAACAGGAAGCACAATCCCAAATAATTTGTAATGTTTAGTACACGTTTTTTTTCAACATTAGACTCCCAGATGGTGGTATCTGATATCTATTTGCTCGTTAAACATGAATAAACAAACCCAAATTTTCTATTTTTGATTAAATTAGGAGAAAAAGGCAAGCTGAGTTTCCGCTTCAGCAGCATCCAGTAAATTATGCCCCATTATCAAACACAGCTATTTTCCCAATTACGACTGAAGAACAAATTGAGTGTGCTTGAAAAATTCTCTAAAGTACACAAAAACATTTCTAAATCACACTCTGATGCGGAGCTGTTGCTAACCGACTCAACTCTGCTGTTTTATAATGGATTTGAGACTTTACCCATCGCTCACAAAATGCAGAACGAGGAAGGCACTCAATTTTCAATGGTACCAGAGAATAATTACTGCTGGTTTACTGTCATTTTGATAAATGCTTGAACTGTTTGTTATCAGTCCAGCTGGAAGTCTGTGCTCAAACTGTCAGAATGACAACCGAAAAGGAGGCTCCAGCTGAATTTTCGGGAGAGAAAAAGAAGTCGAGAAATGTTAAATTGGAAAAAAAAGAAATGTGATCGGCCTCCTCAGAAAGATCTTTAGGATAGATTCAAAGTACTAGTTTACTACTTTCATCAACCTACACTTATGGTACACGTGACAAAATGAACCAAAGCAGAGTGAATTAGGATGCAAGACAGGGTTTGAAAAATGGCTCATGTTCTCGATTTGCTTTTATGACAATGAATAACATTAAGATTTTTTTTTCCATACCAAGTAACCACCTGTAACATTATCATAACTATTTTCTAATAATTGCACGAGCCAGGCTGTGTTATAGTGCAGCTTCTAGTTTGTAGGTTATATGTTACTCCCCTCAAAGAGATTTTTGTCATTTGATGTTTTTTTAGTCTACCACAGCAGGTCTAGAGTGGTTCATAATTCATTAAATCAGTACAAGCGTTAAAAGTGAACCTTATTTTATCTTTACCGTGGCCATCGAGTTTGTGTTTTTTGTTAATAAACTCAAAGGAGAAATAACCAGGAAACCCACTGTCTAAAGAAGATTTGAAAAGTGAGAGGAGTTTTTGTTGCTTTAGGATTAGAGATTTAAACTGTTATGTGCTTTGCAAGAATTGTTTGAAACTGGAGGTCTTGGCAATGTACATACAAGCAATAAGCATATGTATGGATGTTCAAGGTGGCCTTTTAAATCAAATCAAATCAACATTATTGTGTCCCTTTGTTGCACATAAACAGAAATGTGTCTTCAGCTTGCATAACAATCAATATACAGATGGCTGACAAATTCAAAGAAAAAAAACAAGTTCTTTGTAAGCTGTTGGACCACCACATGCTGCCAGAACAGCTTCAGTGAACCTCGGCATTGATTCTCCAAGTCTCTGGAACCCTACAGGAGGGATAAAACACCATCCTTCAATTCAATTCAATTCAATTCAATTCAATTCAATTCAATTTTATTTGTATAGCGCATATTTACAACAACAAGTCATCTCATAGCGCTTCACATCCTTCCAGATAACATTCCCTCTTCTGGTGTTTTGACGATGGTGCCTGAGAACTCTGTCTAGCAGGCCGGTCCAAAATGTCCCACAGACGTCAAACAGGATTAAGATACAGCTAATAATAATAATGATGACAATAGTAATACATAAATACATCCATCCATCTATACACCACTTAATCCTCACTAGGGTCACAGGGGGCTGGAGTCTATCCCAACTGACTTAGTGTGAAGGCAGGGGACACCCTGGACAGGTCACCAGTCTATCACAGGGTTACACTTAGAGACAACCAAGCACACTCACATTCACACCTACAGACAACTTAGAATCACCAATTAACCTCAACATGTTTTTGGACTGTGCGGAACTGGAGAACCTGGAGGAGAACATGCAAACTCCATGCAGAAAGATCCCAGGCATCCTCACTGGGACGCGAACCGGCAACCTTCCAGCTGCAAGGCGACGGTGCTATCCACTGATCCACCTTGCAGCCCTACACGAAGACAATGCCACAATATTTATATTAGCTATGTTAAGTCCTGTAACTTATAGTACCAAAGTGTTTATTATTACATTAGTTAGGTTACTCCCATAATTAATGACACTGTACAATCTCTGCCTTATATAATATGTATTATAGTCAAGTAAAATTGTGTTTTATACTATTTTTGGGGGGGTTTAATCTCTAATACATAACTTCATTAGATATAATCACACTTTAAATTGGTACAGCGGCTGTTGTCTTAGATATGCAATAAATTCTTTAAGCGCTTTAAAAGGTGCTACACAAATTCTATGTATTTCTCGTTCTCCATCTGTGTACTTGCACTTCTTTTGTATTTTTTTTTCGTGGGATGTTTCTGTCTGACGGAATAGTCATATCAATCAGTTTGCAGGTAGAATTCACTGAATCTTTAATGATGATGTCTGGTATGACTATTCCATCAGACAGGAACATTGTGCTAAAAGAAATAGAAAAGAAGTGCAAGTACAACGATCTAGAACTAGAAATACAGAGAAGGTGGCAGATGAAAACTGATCTCTGTGGTTGTAGGTGCGCTTGCTACATTAAAAAGATCGGCATGCTGGGGTCTGCACAAATCCTCAGGAAGGTTCTTAGTATATGAACAGAATTAATGACTTGAGTGACTGATGCCCTAGGTGCATGGTTTGCACTCAGCTGCAAACCATGCACCTATAGGAACACTGGCAAGGACTGTGCTGGAAGAGGTAATAACAAAAACAACAACAACAATAGTAATAATTATTATTAAAGCCGCAAGCAGCATTGGACGGGTCCTCGTCCGATGCTTGTTGGCCGTCGCGCATGTTGGGGTGTTGCGGTGGAGCTCTGAGCCAGTGTGTCAAGTTTGGGGCAGATTGGAGCCTCACAGCTGTGAACATGTAGGATGTGTAGGGTGTGTCTGCACTCTCAGGACCGCAGCTTCTTCTACAGGTGCACGCTGAGAGGCTTTTATTCAGGACAGCGCCACCTACCACAATGAATGATCACTGTCCTGTTTGAGA